AAAAAAAAAAAAAAAAAAAGAGAAGGGGAAATGTATATGTCTGTCCATCCTGTTGCTTTAGCCTGTCAGCTCCTAGAGGGCAGGGACCGTGTCTTCCGAATGGTCTGTGCAGCGCCTAGCACACCGTGGGCGCTCAATAAATATTAAATTGATTAACCCACCATTCCCTCTCCCTCCCTTCCTCCTGGACCACCCCTTACCGACTGCGGGAAGTATCAGAGGAGGAAGCAGAGTCAGCAGAAGTTGAACGGTGGGCCCGGCGGCTCTTCGGGGCTGGTGTTGTACTTCGAGACCTGAAAGATGACCACCGACACAGGTAAAGGTGCTGCCACACCTAAACTGGATTCTCCTCAGCCATCCCTCAACCCTTTACCAGTCAGGGACATGACTGAATCTTCCCCCTCCCCTCGAAGCTGGCATTTATCTACTTATTAAGCAAATTCCCTGCAAATTCACTCACCGTTTTCGCTTCTTGTCCTTAGATTTACGTTTGCTCTTTGGAGTGGGAGACCTAAGAAGTAAGGGAAAGCTCTTAGAAATGAATTTTTTAAAAAGGAAATAAAACCAAAAATGAAATGGAAAGAATGAGGGAATGTTATCAACAGAAAGATCAAGGAATTGAGCTTTGCTCCAAGAAAGAGAAACCTCCCTGAGGCCAACTGCAAGCAAGGCCATCAAGCAATGGCTCATTACTCCCACATGCTACTACATCTCCTATGAGACAAAGAGCTCTTACCTATGCTTACGTTTCTTGGACTCGGACTCTGACCTGTTGGAAAAAAGAGAAGAAAAAACATAAACCAACACCTATGCTTCAACTCAGCAAGCCTTCTCCAATCACTCCAAGTACTCCCACCTCATACCTGTGCTTCTTCTTCTTTGAGCTCTTCTTTCTCTCCCGTCGAGGAGAGCTGCTCTCTGACCTGCTAAAGATTGAGTTCAGAAGCAAGATGATTCTGCTTAGCTTCTTCCCTGGCCCTCCCACTTACAATCTGTCCCCTAAAAAAGTTTCTAAAACCTGAAGATCCCAATAGCATCAAACCTATGCCCATGCCCAGAACTTATTTCTTTACCCCTCACAAAGTACAGGTAACTCATAAGTCAACAAGCCTCAAAAAAGAAAATTCCAGAAATCTAAAATGCTACTGGCCAGGTCTTAATTGACAGACTTGCAGACTCAACCCATCCCCAATGAGAAGCACATGTATCTTTTGTCCCAACTGAGACCTAAATGATAAATGGTAGCTCCCTCCTCCCTGACAAATATCTCCTGCTTTCTGGAAGCAAGAATTCTCAATTCCTGGCTGGGCGTGGTGGCTCACGCCTGTAATCCTAGCACTCTGGGATGCTGAGGCAGGAGGATCGTTTGAGCTCAGGAGTTCAAGACCAGCCTGAGCAAGAGCGAGACCCCGTCTCTACTAAAAAAAAAATAGAAAGAAATTGGCTGGACAACTAAAAATACATAGAAAAAATTAGCCGGGCATGGTGGCTCATGCCTGTAGTCCCAGCTACTCGGGTGGCTAAGGCAGAAGGATCACCCGAGCCCAGGAGTTTGAGGTTGCTGTGAGCTAGGCTGATGCCACGGCACTCTAGCTCGGGAAACAGAGCAAGACCCTGTCTCAAAAAAAAAGAAAAGAAAAAAATGAATTCTCAATTCCTAAAGAGAAAGTGCACCACAGAATTGGTCCTCTGGCTACCAGAGTAACTCTCCCAACTAACTTACCGTCCTCTATCTTTCTTCTTTTTCTTCTTCTTTTGCTTTGGGGTTGGTGAGCGAGAACTGCTGGACTCCCGAACAAGGCTGGGGAAGGAGAAAAAGAAGCAGAGACAGGTAGACCAGTGCTAAGACAAACTTTCTTAGACATTTCAACTTCTGAAAAACAAAACTTAGGAGTTTGAGAAGAAACAGTCCACACCAAAAGAAAAAAAGAGACAGAGAGAGAGAGCACGCGCGAGCGCGCTCACACATGCACCCAGAGTGCTTAGAATCAGAAAAAGAAGCTGAGAGTGGTATTCCTGTCTTGTATACCTGTAAGGTTTGGGAGGCTCAGGAGCTGGCTGTTTAGCTTCTCGAGCACGACGCTGAGGGTCGAAAGAACTGCCATCCACATAAGAGTCACTGATGCCAAAGGCAGCACGGAGTCGCTCATTCTTCTTCTCATTCAATTCTGCCAACTGGTGAGTCTCAGTTACCCTAGAGGAAAAAATGGCAAAAGTCTGAAGGAAGTAAGGAGCCAAGAGCCATAGTGAGAACACAATTATAAGCAGGAGCCAAATAAGGCATGGGGAAGGGAAGATGTGGGCAGGGAGGAAGTTCCAGGTAAGGAAAAAGGACAGCAGCAGCAGCAGAGTCCAAAGGAACCAAGGGAGAGTTCAACACTCACGCTGGCCTCTGCCCTGGGGTGTCCTCCTTGCCCCCAGGGTTCACATCCTTCTCCAGCAACATGAGTCGAAAGGTCGCCACTTTTTCCTGAATTTGCTGTTCTTCGTACCTGAAGAATAAATCCCTTCAGGGTTAGAGCTTGACAGGACACTCTCCCCAGACCCAGGGAAACATTTCCCTCATTCCCAACAGGGTCTCTTCCCTCTCCATGCACACATAGAACTTTTCACTCACTGTCACCCGTAAGTCCCTTCTCTTCAGTCCTTCTGATCTTTGCCCATCCTCTTCCTTCCTTCTACTTACTATACCATCTAGAACAGTGGATTTTAAACATGCTACACTTCAGGGGCCAAAAGAGGAAAGTTAAGCAGGCGGAGTTCCAAGTGCTTCTTCCCAACTTCAACGCGAACAGCTCTTTTACCTCCTGGGATTCCAAAGTAAGGTATGTTGCATAAAAGGATTATTGCTGCTGAAGTTTGAAAACCACTGCTCTAAAAGGTTTTCTGCCTGAATGTGCTCCTTTTAAAGTTTCACATTCCTACCCAGCCCATGATTCCCTCCTATTCAAGTATTCTTCCTATTCCTGGCTTCCCACCTTTGCTACTTTCCAAGGCCTCAATCCTTAAATCCATTTACCTTCTTTTCTACCAATGACAACACCTGTCTACTTACGTAGCTCTTCTCCTACCTGGTCTCTGCTTTTCCCTCTCTCCTTGAAAGCACATTTTTGTTCCTCAATGGCCCCCTTCCCTATGTGCCTCCACCTAAGTAATTCAGTGTCTCAGGCGCCCATCTATGCCCCAGACACAGCTTCCTTCCTCATCTCCCACTCTGCACCGACCCTTAACTCTTTCCAATTCTCTAGCTCATTTACCTCCTCCCCTACCACAGCTCCTCTCCAGGCCTCTTTTAACCAGCCCTAAACTAACACCCCCACCTAACATCCCCAGCTCTGCACTCGCTCAGTGCTTGGCTCTCCCCCAGCCCTCCCCTCACCCCTGCTCTTCCATCATCTCCTCCAGCTCGAGGCATCGCAGCTCCACGCGCCGCTTGCGCTCGTGGTCCAGGATGTCAGGATTAGGCCGCTTCACCAGGGCAGCCTCCAGGCGCCGCAGTTCCTCCTCTCCCTTGTAGTCAGGCCGCTCACCCCGGCGGCCCCGCACCAGGGACAGGTTGCGCTGGACGTAGCCGTTGGTGCCGCTGCCCCGGGGCGTCGGCAGCCCGATCCCGTTGTACATGGCCCCGTGCCCGGGGGAGGGGGCACCACCGCTCCTGGGGGGGAGCGGGGAGACACGGGTCAGGCCCCTGACCCCAAACTAACCGCTTAACCACCACCCAAGTCCCTGCTCTCATTCATCCCTATTGCAACATTTATCTTCACACTAAATCTCCTTTAACTAAATAATGCTCCATCACCCTTCTGGTCTCCCAAGAGAACCCCTTCTTCATTCTTCCCACACTGCTTCCTTTCCACGAAATCACAGACCAGTTCTTACAGCCTTTTCCCTCAATGCTCTGGCACAAAATTCTGAATAATTCCTCCTTGCACCTAGGTGTTCTTTTTTTCACCCTAGGCAAACAAAGATCCTGCTTCTCTCAAATCTCTCCACAATGTCCCTTTATTCTCCTCTGGCCCCAAAATGCACAAGTGGTGTCTCTACCAACTACTCGTCCTAACCTCTGATAACCGACTAAGGCCTGCAAACAGGGGACAATAAGAACCAGACATATAAGTGGCACCTAAGGGCCTGCAGCCTATGCCCAAAGACTCTTCCAAGAACTTAACCTAAGGATTTCAGACTGCTCTGTATGAATGCAAAATGAACTGAACAGCCCTTTGATATCTGAACAGGTGGACTGGTTGGTTAAAACAAATCAAAAGTATCCTGTGCAGCCTCACACCCAGACTAAATAAAGGCCAGCATCCACATCAGAAACACATATGAACCTTGGCTACATAATCTTCTTTTACTTCAGTTCCCAGGTAAAGAGCCATTTCCTTGATTCTAAATATTTAAAGACTCTACCAACTATCCTGATATTTTTTTCCTTCAATTTCCTTCCCAATAGGATTTACAACATGATCTTCAACATCTCACTAGCTCCTGTTAAATATTACCTGTTTTCAACTCAATGCTCTATTTAAACACATCAAACCAGTCTCCTGTTACAACTGTTCCCACACCTTCTCTACGTATCTTACCATAAATTTATCTAGAAAACCCTCCATATACCTCATCTTCATTAACATTCAATTGTCAACTATCCCTACCAATCCCCTGTATTGCATTTCCCAATTTTTCTCTCCCAGCCCTGCCTAACTCCTCCTCCCATGTTAACCCCATGCCTCCCACCATGTTCTATCCTTTCAACTTGTCCCAACCCCAGCATGACTCTGAAGGACCCTCAAGCCCCAGTTTTTTTAGTTAGATTCCTTGACTACACATGTTCTCTTTCTTTCTCCTGCTACATATACTCTATTTCTTTTTTCAGTCTATCCTTTCCAAGATAGTTTCACAGGGCATAAATGTGTGAGGGGAAAAAACACTCGGGAAAAACCCCAAGGAACAGGTAAAGTGGAGCGATCAAAGCAAATGGAAGAGAGGAAATTGGATATAAGGGAAGGCCATATCTAGAAAATTCCAGAATAATAAAAAAAAATGCCTGGGAAAATGCACTAAAGTAGACACACACATACACAAAAAGCAAGAAAGAACAAAAGAGCGAAAAGAAAAAAGTATGGGGAGATGTTGAATGGAAAGAAGCTAGGCTAGATCCAGAATAGTTTGCACCCCCAAACTCCCTCATACCAGTCTAAGGATGGGCCGCTGCCCAACCAGTAGCAGACCCAAGGAAGAATCGAAAGCAAAAGAAAATAACTATGCCAGGGTGACAGATGAGGCTAAATCTAGGACAGGCAAGTGGAAATACAGTAAGAAATAAACAACTTTATAGCTCAAGAAATCAGTTTCTCTACCTTCCAACCCTGATTTTCATTTTCTAATACCAATCTTTCCCACACTAAACCTAGGTCCTTCTTTGCCTCTCCATGCCCTAATTTTTGCTTCTCTTGCAGAATGTTTCTGACCTGCAATTAATTCTTCAGCTTAACCATTCAGCCACACTTCCATACCACCTCACACAAAAATCCTCCCACTCTCTAAGGAAGGAAAACCAGTAGCTGCTAAGCAAAGGATAGTAAATCACAACGTTTTGGAGAACTTTTAGGGAACGAGCAAAAAAAAAGAAAAAGAAAAGACACCATAGCATCTAAGGGATGTGATCAAGACACTAAAAAAAGGAACTAACATTAACACACAAACCACCAAAACCAGACAACTTTATAAACAGGGATTCTTAAAGTGGGGTCTAAAGACTGTAAATATGCAAAAGTTACCCAAGGTAAAAGCAGAAAGTAAAAAGTAAGCTGCAAAAGAAGACAAAAAACAGTTTTTCCTGTTGGGAAATTATCAGAATGCCAAACTAATAGGGGAATGGAAGAATTTTCTCGAAATTTATTAAGCTTTTCTAGGGGGGAAAAAAGCACCATAAAGGACAGAGAAAAGGGTTATCCAGGAAAACGGACATAGGTAAGCACAACAAGCTTAACATTGGGGCACTCTAGTAACTGAGTAGACACAATGAAACCCAGAAAGCTAAAATATTTGCTTCTGAAGAGCCTTAAGCCCATACGCTTAGGAGGGAACACAACAAAACAAACTCTGAATCTCTGATCAGGACACATGTGAGAGAAGCTAGGCAGAAATGGAGACTCAAAAGTGTTGTCTGCCAAATAATGCCTGAAACGGGAAATGTGGAACATTTTAAACAGGGTCCAGCATTTTCTCCCCAACGACGGGCTCCCAAAGTCTCCCTCGCTTTAACACTAACTGTGGGGAGACATTGAAAAAGTGTTAAGGGAAAAAAAGAAACACGTATTCTACCTTACATACGTAACCTAAACACGTTAACTTTCTTAATCTTTCAGAATCGGGGCTTTTTTTCCCCCCTAGTAACTTCACGGCTCATAGTAACGAGTCCAAACCGTTTAAATCCAGGACACCTAGCTCAAGGCCCTCTCTGCAGTGGCCGGCCCACGAAGGCTTATTTTCGGCCTTAAAGGATGGGGGAGGGGCCGCGCGGCGCCCCGCAGTCTGGGACGGCCGGGTCCACAGGCCTGCAAGAGGGACGAGAAGCCCAATGCCGGAGAAAGGCACGGGGGAAAGGCATCGGGAGAAACGATCCAGGAACAAGCCCCTCGTGCAGCCCCTTCCCCGCTACTTAAACGCCGAAAGAAGCAGCTACGTAACGGCCACCTCGATCGCACGTGTCGGGGGGAGGCCAGAAACCGAGTCGCGCGCGCACCCCCGTCGCCGAGAGCGCGCGCGAACCCGCAGGCAGACGGCTGCGCGCGCTGTTGCCATGGGGGAAGGGGGGGGTCGAAGCCCGCGCGCCACAGGAACGGCGGGAAGGGGGAGGGGAGGCAGGCAAGCGAGGGCGCCCGCGCCAGCTAAGGGCGGCGAGCGCGCGTGCGCGCGACGGCCTAGGCCGTTCTCTGCTCGCTTTGGCCTCGCGCCGAGGCCGCCGCCCCTCCCCCACCCGGCTCGCTCGCTCCCTCACCCTCTCACCCGCCGCCGCCGCCTCTGCCCGCCGCTGCCGAGGGGGAGAGGTCTTGCCGCTGGCGCTGCTCGAGCTCCCGAGGCCCTCGGGGCCTGAAGCCGCCGCCTCGCCTTGCCGGTCCGCCCGCCTCAGCCGACGCCGACGCCTCCTCGCTTCCTCAAGGGCCGCAGCGGGTTCCGACTGCGCCACTCGCACCCAACCTGGGCCGCGTTGCACGTCAGCACGCCTAATGCGTCAGCACGCAATCGCGCCCGTCGCACGGCCCGCCGGGAACCGTAGTACGCCCCGCGACCTTGTGCGCAGGCGCAGAAGCCTCACCGAGAAATATAGTTTCTTACGGCGCAAGGAGGGGTCAACTCCGTTGCCGAAGAACTAAGAGTCCCGTCGGCCAGTGCGAGGAAGGGCGGGGAAGCGGCCCGAATCCACAACGTATCCAAGAGGCCTTCCGCTGGGGGAGGAGCAAGGGCCTAGCACCAGCTTGAGCGGCGCGCGAGCGCGCCTCGGCCTCCCGCCTTGGACCAGAGCGTTCTGGGAGTTGTAGTTCCGGCGCGTCGCGGAGCCTCTGTGGCTGTGGCCCAGGGCGAGGCAGCCATTTTGTCTCCCCATGTTGGGAGGCGATGGCCCAAGGGCCCCGGGGTTGCCGCTTTCGTGGGCTTCCCGGGCGCGCCCGCGGCCGTACATCACTCGGCCTTGCGTGCTGGGGAGAAGCCCGCCTCATACCGCAGCCAGCGGGCCCCCCTGGAGCCGCTGAGTCTGGCTTCAGGCTCAGGGCCTGAAGCAAAGGCCAACCAGCCACCCATGGCAGTCGCAGCTTTTGCCGGACTGAGGCGGACAGCTTGGCCCTGGGGAATAGATGACCGTTACCTTCGGGTAAGGCGACCAGGCAGGGATCCTCCAGAACCTGAGACACGTTCTATGTGAAGAGAAAACCTTTATGGAGAAGGCCGGGAACATGGCAGGAGAAAAAACGTCATAAGCACCTTAAAATTTTCACTTTTCGGTACCATATTCCCTGTTAGTTTTTCAAGTCCATTTTGGGGACCAGGTAATCAGCCAGTGTCCCTCAGAGTAGAGTTGTAAGAAGCTGGGCCTCTCAGCCGCAAGTTTAAATCTGGCTAGTGACCTTGGACTCGGCCTTAGCTGCCCTGGTCATCTCAGGGCCATGCTTCCTTAACAGGACATAGTACCACTTAATGAACTATTTGAGTTTGAGGAATTATATTTGATATCATTACGTTTTCTTTTTACCTTGCCTGGATATACTCCTCTCAGGTGCTGGGACGCGGAGTCCTGCCGTCTTGTTCAGGAGCTCTAACTGCAGGTTCCAGCGCCCAGGGAGTTGTAACCCTGTCTGGACGCACCTCTGGAATAACGTGGCAAAGGGGCAAAGGCTTTGTCTTTCTGGGCTTGAGCTGGTATTTCTGAGGTTGATGGTGAAAAGTAATGGTTTCTTTAAAGACCCCCCTCCCACCTCCAGTGAGACCCTTTCCTGTAACCAAATTCCCAATGATAGTCTTCCTTATATTGATTGAGTAGTTTGTGCTAAAATCCGCACATGAATCAGCGCATTTAATGCGGGTGCGTAACCTGAATCTCATCATGTTGAAACATGATTTGCAGTTCCCTAATGACTGATGACATTGAGAATCATTTCATATGCTTATTGGCCATTTGCATATCTTGTTTGGAGAAATGTCTGTTCCAGTCCTTTGTTTTTTAATTGGGTTTTTTTGGTTTTTTGTTGTTGCGTTGTAAGGGTTTGTTATATATTCCGGATTTTAATTCCTTATCAGATAGATGATTTATGACTCTCTTCTCCCAATCTATGTATGAGTTGTCTTTTCACTTTTTTTTCATACTTAACATTATAGCAAGATTTGAGGAAGACACATTTCACACAGGTGTGAAAACCCAGTCATCACACTTATGAACTACAAAAGGATCTTTGCTTTTTTGATAGTATTCTTTG